GGTGAGGAGGAGGAGGCAGAAAGTGGTGATTTTCCTCCTTGGGCCAGCATACACGGGTGAGTCGTATTTTTACACGTCCAGCATCAGCTTGCAACCATGAGTCATTCCTTCCTGGAGGGAGGTGCTTGATGGCAGGGTAAAGGAAGGCATAAACAGTGCCACATGACAACTGGGTCTCGATGACTTTATCAAGGGCAGCCTTAGTCCTGGCAGTGGTGACTTCACAGCAAGTGTCAGGGGCTCTCTGAAATGAGTGGGGGAGTGGCCAGGCGGGGAGGAGGTTTGCCTCGGAGGCCAGGGCTGTTATGATAAGGCTCTTCTTTAGGATGGTGGCAACCAGGCACCTAGGGGGCCTTGTTTCCTGGTAGGCCCCCTGCATGGCTGCTCTGGGGGCTCTGAGAGGAACCATGGGCTGTGGTTAGCAGAGAATGAGGCGGGATGGGGCACTCAAAGGAGACCTGGCTTTGCATTTAGTCTGACTGCCAATTCCTGGCTGTGTGACCTTGGCCAGTGTCCTAACTTCTCTGAACCTCAGTTTTCTCATCTGTAAAATAGGTTCGAGACCACTTCTACTAGCTTTGTGTGTCTAGCAAGGAGAGGTGCTACATTAACCACTGCTGTTTCTCCTTTCCCCTGTTGTCCTCACCTTGAGGATGCGACTCCTTGACCTCACTGGGCCACCAAGGACATTAAGAGCTGGGTACCTTCCTGAACTTTAACAGTTAGAGACTAGGGATGGGTCCATTTCTCTGTTCCTTCTTTTTTTTAAAAAAAATATTGATTTTTACAGAGAGGCGGGGAGAGGGATAGAGAGTTAGAAACATCAATGAGAGAGAAACATCGATCAGCTGCCTCCTGCACACTCTGTGCCCGCAACCAAGGTACATGCCCTTGACTGGACTCGAACCTGGGACCCCTCAGTCCGCAGGCCCACGCTCTATCCACTGAGCCAAACCGGCTAGGGCTCTCTGTTCCTTCTTGATGCGGTTCGAAGCCAGCCCAAGGGGAGTGGGGGAGACAGAGACAGGAGCAGGCCCCACCCTGGGCGAAGGTGTCCCCCTCGGGGCCTCGCAGGCAGGTCTCACCTGATGTGGTTGATGATGAGGTTTGTTGGGGGAATGAAGAAGTCGTCCACTCCTGCAAAGGGTGTGCGGATGAGGTGCTGGCCCTGGCCGGTGCTGGCTTCCGTGATCACCTATGACAGAGAGCAGGAGTCCTTGTGAGGGCCCGGCCTAGTGGGGGCTGGAAACCTGGGGACCTCTGCATGCTCCCCAGCAGACAGGCTGCTAGAGAGAGATGATGGACAAGCCACAGTCTTGGGAAGGGGCGGGAGCAGAGTGGAATGGCACAGGCAGGACAGGAAGTGGTAGGACAGGGGTGAGTTGTTCCCTCCCACTCTGCCTGGCGTGACCTGCTGCACGCTGTCGGCTGTGGTGACTGCAGCTCGGGGACTGAGCTGGACTTGTGTTGGGGCTTTGGAGGGAGGTCCCAGAACCGAAACATCACTCTGCTCAGATACAACTTCCCCACCAGCAGGGAAGCCCACCTTCTCAACACCTAGGCCGCCCTGGGAAAAAGGAGAGCGCTTTAAGTGATGAGAATGTGAAACTGTGGAACTGATGACTGGTTATTTTCCGTTGATGCCAGGTGTCTGGGCTGGGTTGCTGGGAATCTGTCGCATACTGCTCACCGAGGCGTGCTCCGAGGGCTGTGACTCCGTGGCGTATTACAGAAAGCGGGGATCTGGCAGAGGTGCCCTTCAGGGGTGCTGGTTGTGCCACCAGAGGCCTTGTGATCGAAACGACGGGGAGAGGTTCAGGTTCACAAAGGGACTTGCTGTGAGAAGTAAGGAGTCAGGCCTTGTGTTTGGTACAAATTGGTGAAGACTGAGTATGGCTGCCTGTTTCCCTGGAGGTTACACCTCTCCCCGTGGGGGTGACCTGAGCCACTCCCCGGCGTGCGTCCCTGCTGTCTGCACAGGGACGGGCACGTTGGCAGTGCGGACAGTCAAGTGATGTCCGAGGCTAGAGAGGAGGAGAGTGGTCTGCAGGTCCTGCCAGAGCGCTCCCTGTGGGCAGGCCGGGCATCGACCTGCCTATTAGCTACTGAGGCCTCGGGCCTGGGCAGGCCAGAGACACCGAGCCAGGCAGCCTGTGTCCTCTGCCTTTTCACGTGCTCATCAGCCTCCAAGTCCAGGGCCATTGCCCTGAAAGGAGGCTGACCTGCCGCCAGGCGAGGAGCTTGGCCAGCTTGTGGGCAATGTTGGCTTGAGGGCCCCACAAGAACAAGCCCAGAGATTCTGAGCAGCACAGGAGGCAGAGGCCAGACCCGGACAGGGAGGTGAGGTACTCCCGACCTGCACCTGGTGGCCGCGTGCGCGGAAGGAAGGACCCAGATCTTGGCAGCCCCAGGCCGACGAGCCGGGCGGGGCTTGGTGACTCCCATGGCTTTCAACCCTGGATGCTGTTTGCTTTTTCGAATGAAATTGTCTTCTAGCTCTTACTTTTATGGTGAAACAAACATCACCTGGTGTCTCCTCAGGCAGGTTTGAGGGTTGAATCTTTTCTGAACCATGCTTCCCAGGGGGCGGCAGGCAGAATGCCGGATTAGAACGATGAGACGGTCACTTTCAACCTTGGGGCAGCTCTAAAGCTCTACGGTTGCATTAGGTCATTTTCCTGTGATTAAAAAAAGGCCAAACGACACTTCATGGCAAGTCTGTGAGGAAAAGCTCTGGGCATGAAGGAAGTCTCAGCATTAGGAAACGGGATCTTGGAGAGTCGAGGGGAAAATGCCAGAAAAATCCACGAAGCTATGCAATCCTTGCTTGATACTAGGCCTGTCGTTTTAGCTTATATTAGAGATGGAAGATTACAGGCTGTCAGCGGCCCGTGTCATTCACGCTGCACCACTCTGACACCCTATGTTCAGAGGTTACTTCATCAAAACACAGTGCAGCGGGCCATTGAACTGCTGTGGGCATGCCCGCGCCACTGCTCCAACCAGCCTTGAGTTCCTTGGCTTGTGTACCAGCACGTGGCTGGGTGCATCAGGGACTCCAGCATAATTGTTGAACCCCTCAAATTTGCCGGCTCTGAGAGCTTGGGACAGGAGGTGTGTGTATGTAGCTGGACAGCAGAGGTCATTTGCTGGTCAGCGTGGGGTAAGGAAGACTGAGCATCTCCCTCAGAGGGTGGACAAGCCAGCTGAAAAGTGACATTTGGGGAAGGGGAGGGGACAAGGTGTCCTGTGGAACAGGCTGAGAGGTAGGTAAAAGCTGGGCCTGGGAGTGAGCGGGTAAGAGAGTGCCGGGCAGGAGTCAGGAAGATGCCAAAGGTTCCAGCACTGGCTGCTGGGGGAGGGCCTCCTTTAGAGAAGCATCTTCCTGTAGTCACAGCGAAGTTTGTGTAGCCAATTCCTTAGTGTTGGATATTTAGAAACATTGGGATATTATTATTTTTAAATTTATCTTTATTGGTGAAAGCATTACAGATGTCTGCTTTGTCGTCCCCCCTCCTCCACCCCCATAATCCCCTCCTCCTCGAACCCACCCCTCCTAAGCCTTTGCCACACTATTGGCTGTGTCCGTGGGCTATGCATCTATGCATATAAGTTCCCCCGTTAATCGCACCCCCTCAAATCCTCTCCACCCCCGCCTTTGAAATTCATCAGTCTATAATACAATGTAGTAACACATAGCTGAATCTTTGTCCGTATCCATGATCACGGCCTTCGAGAAGTTCTGAGAAGTCAAGTTGCTGGATCAAAAAGCACTGTTTTGAAGCTTTTGGTTCACATTTCCAAATTGCTCATCACAAAGGCTGTGTCAGTTGATCTTCCTGGAAGTGCTCATTTCCCTAACCCCGGCCGACAGCAATAAAGGTAGGCTTATTCAATCTATTTCATTTTCTTGTCATAGTGCACATTTCCTAGACTTGCCAATTATGGTGATGGAGGACATCATGGTTTAATTATTGAAATTAATTAAAATGCTTTTAGTGCTTTGTCATTTAGGCAAAAGTTGCTCTTGGTTTCTGGGAAATAGTCTTCATTATATTTAAGGAGTTTCCTTCTAGTCTTATTTTTAGGTATTTTATTAAGACTGCTGCATTTAATTAAATGCCTTTCAGCATTATTGGAAATATCATAGTTTTTTTTTCTGTTTTAATTTGTGTTATATAAAATGTTGACTGATTTCCTGGGAGCGAACCATCATTGCATCTGGGAACTTAATTTGTTCCCTGCTTCAGCAATTACATGCATTGCTGGACTATACATCTAATACCATGATTAGAATTTTGCTTTTGTATTTGTGAGATTAAAAATAGAATAAAAATATAAACTAATCAGTTTTTATAATTATACTGGTTATTTAAAACAAATAAAGGAGCTGTATATTTCGCCCCATGATCTGAGAAGTTAAAATACTAAAATTGTATTTAGAAGATTTGAGAAAACTCAGATATACATTTTTCTATGATAGACCTTTAATCTTTTAGAAACCTCTCCGGCAGATAATTGTTCAAGTTTTCCTTTTCTTAGGTCAGTTTGTTTTCCCCCCTACATTTTGTAAATGAATAATCATTCATTTCTTCTAGGTTTTAAAATTTGCTGCTCCAGAATTGCAATGTAGTATTATTTTACAATTATTTTCATTCTCCTGTATCTATAATCATAGCCCTCTTTCGTTCTTCATTTTGCCTTTTTCCTTTATCAGATGTGAGAATTTTTTTCCTGTTTTTATTTGTGATGTATGTCTGTTTCTCTATTTGTTCTTTAATTATTTTTTTCTATTAATTTCTATTCTTACCAGTTATTTTGTTCTTTTCCTAATATCGTAACACAAATACTTGCTTTGCAGGCTTTTAAGACACAAATATTCCTTGTGGACACTTTCTCTGTCTCCCATAGGTTTTGATGTGAAACGGGCTCATTTTCAGACAGTTTGTAACTTCCCTTTTAATTTCCTCTTTGATCCAATAATGATCTAGGAGTGTTTCCTTATTAGGTCACATTTTATTTAGGTCACATATTAATTCTAATTATCAGATAATGTAGTCTATAACATCTATAAAATTTGTAAATGTTTTCTTCATGATTACTGATACTTATTTATATGTGAACATGTGAAAAAACTATTTGCCAGATGAAAGGTTTCCTATATATTAATTAAACCAAGTTCCTTATTCATATTATTCAATTTTCCCATGTCATCTATTTGTCTCCTTGGTATTATAAGTGTATTTTAAATAAAATTCTCCTTGTATTTTCAAATGCTCTTATGTATTTAGTTGTCATGTCTCTCCTTATGCTGGTGAGTGAGTACCTTTAACCTTAAGTCCCACCTTGTCTGGTACTAATATTACCACTTGTGCATATCTCTTTTTTTTTTTTTTAAATATATTTTATTGATTTTCCACAGAGAGGAAGGGAGAGAGATAGAGAGTTAGAAACATCGATGAGAGAGAAACATCGATCAGCTGCCTCCTGCACATCTCCTACTGGGGATGTGCCCGCAACCCAGGTACATGCCCTTGACCGGAATCGAACCTGGGACCTTTCAGTCCGCAGGCCGACGCTCTATCCACTGAGCCAAACCGGTTTCGGCATTGTGCATATCTCTTAGCTCCCCTATCATCACTATTTCTAGGCCTTTAAATTTAATCTCATTATCATTTTGTTTTGTGTGTTTCTTGTAAACACATTAGAGTTAGTTTTCTTTCTTTCTTTCTTTCCTTCTTTTTCTAAAGCCCAACCTGATCACCTCTGCTTTGAACAGAATTCAGTTCTCAGCTATTAATTTCAAACATTCTCTATATCCTCTCTCCTCCCAATAAGATGACACTTTTGAGTATTATTATTCCCTTCTCTTCCCTCCACTCTGTATTGTCATTTTTACTAAAATAATTTATCTTTAGAAATCCTGGTATCAGGATTTCTCTTTCAGTGTGTCTCTGCTAATTCTAACACCCTTACTTAGCACCGATTATACATTTCCAGATAGATTCTCCTCATCCATCTTACATTTAGTTTTAATCCTCACCCAATGATATGTTTTGATTGATTTTGAGAGAGAGAAAAACATTGATTTGTTGCCTCGACCGGGGATCAAACCCGCAACCTAGGCATGTGCCCTGACCGAACCTGCAACCTTTTGGTGTGTGGAATAATGCTCCAACCAGCTGAGCCACCCAGCTATGGGTACATCTTCCTTTTAGTTTTACACAGTCCTCTCCAGGTTCCTTACTTACGACGGTCTCCTCTTTTCCTTCTCCATCTTGATGTCTCTGATCTGGTTCCTCGGGTGGTGCACACGAGTGATACGCTCTCCGGATTCTGCATATTCTTGTATCTTTCCTTTGTCCGGGGGTAAATGATATCTTGGTGGGGCACAGGATTCTTGGACATCAGCCCTTATATCTAACTAATGTGACTCCACGGTCTTCCAGCTCCTATTGCAGGTGAGAAGTTCAAGGCCCATCAGATTGTTGTTTCTTCTACAGGTAACTTGTTCCTTCTGCCTTGTAAGATTTCCCCTCTACTCTTTTACTAACAAGGGCAGAGATGTGTCATTTCTCATAAGTCTAGCCAGGAAGTTGTAGATCCTCTTGGAAATTTTATTACAAATGTATTTATGTTGGACTCCATCCCAACAGTTTCCTTTTCTCTTTCTGAACCTCCATGTTCGGAGATGTTGAGTCTCAGTCTCTTCATATATTTGGGTCTCGGTAGAAACCATGCATTTCCCAATTTATCTACTGCAGTCGACGATTAGAAAGGCATTTTGTTCATTTTTAGTTCCAGAGGAATCTTTGGTAGTGGTCCCTCCCATAGAGTTTCCTCAGGTGCTTTCTTAGAGCTGCCAGAGGGCCCAATAATAAGCCCATTTCTCTGGGCTTAGCCTCCGTTCTGAGTGACCTTTATCCTGGGCCCTAGGAGTTCTAATGGTTGTTATTATTTGTTGTCAGCTCACGGGGCTCAGGGCTGGTGGATGAGTTCAATCACCGACACAGTCTCAGTTCACATGTGGTGAAGTTGTGCCCGCCCCCTGGTGCAGCAAAGGCAGGCAGGAGGCCAGTCCCCGGAGGAAGCCTCTCTAGAGCCGGTGTTCCTGGCCTCTCACTAGTCTTGGGAACAGGGTGAACCTGGCTCCATCTGCAGCCCTTCTCAGCTGGGGTTCCGAGAAAGAATTAAACCCTAAGGCCTGAGGCATCCATTGTATGTAACGAATTACCTTTTCTGTGCATCTAGAATGGTTCTATGCACCATTTTGGGGAGACTTGAGAAAACAGGCATTCAAATTACTTTATGTAGATCTTAATCCTCTCGTGCATCCCTGATGAGAAAGGCTGAGCCACACACACTCAACACAGGGGTGGCATGGCTCTTCCCTGGCTGGCAGAGGGAGGAATCCCACAGATCCCTGGGGCCCAAGCTCTTCCCGGGAGGAGGTACAGCAGCTGGAGGTGGGGACTGCAGAGCCTGCTGCGGGAAGGAGTTGGACCATGGGCAGATTACCTAACTTTTCTGTGCCCTCCCACCCTGGAGGCACTCCATAAACACACTTCCATTTATGGACATAACTGCTGCTGCTTCCTCTCCTTCCCCTTCCTTATTGGCCAGCAGCTAGTGCTTGCTTTGACACTAAATCTCTAGCCCGCCCAGCCCAAGGTGAAGAGAGCCTGTCTCCTTTCTTCCTCCCTGGACTCCAGTCTTCATGCTGTTGGACCCCAGGAGATCCTGGCTCAGGAGGAACAGGTGTTGTGGGGCCTGGGAGCCACATTCTGATTGTCATACCATGAGATCCTACCCATTATGGGTATTACTGTCTTTAACTGCAGGCCTTGCTAAAGACACCCTGTCAATTGCCTGTGAGGAGTGTTGGCCTGAGGCTGTTTCCTACTCTCTCCTTAAGCCCTTATGGACATATTTTGGATAAATGAGATTAGTCACTAGGGAAGTGGGAGACAAACGGGGAGAGAGGCTTTTCCTGTGGGGCAGGGGTTAGACTCCATGTGTTCAACATACCTGGAGGCTTGGTTGGGACTTGTGCACATCCCCCCAGCTCAGGACCCACACTTGGTCATGTGACTTGTCATAGGACAGCTTAGCCGGCAGAGGGTCCACACCTATGGACTTAAACAACAACAAGAAAAGAAGACATGTTGGTCATGGTTGTCGTAGGGGCTGACACAATGGTCGTTTCTGGGTGTTGTGCACGTGGCCATTGCTCCTGGGTGAGTGGCAGGCAGCCCAGTGCAGAAGCCTGCCTTCTGGGTTTGTTGTCTTCAGCGGCATAAAATTGGTGGTCAACAATTTCTCCCTTTTAAAAACTTGTTGTGTGTTTTACTTAAAGCAGAGATCCGGAGCATCTCAACAAAAGCCTGAACACAGAAGCTTTAAGTTATCCACTTAAGAACCAGCCGAGGACCCGTCCATCACATCTCCTGGAAGCCTGTTGGGCCTCTTAGACCCTCAGCATCCTTCCCCAGGCTGCTCCAAGGCCCGGATACTGGTGAGTGGGCCCCTTCTCCTGGGTCATCGGAGGTCACCCTTTCTCACCTTATCTTTCCACAGCCTCTGTCTTGCACATCCGTCAGCGGGAGCTGCTGGGACTCAAACCATAGCACCAGGCTGGTTATTTTTACTGCTGTGACCGATACTCTGCTCTCCCCCGAGGACAGTGCTTCCCCTGTGGCCCTGGCAAATGGAGACTTTTCTCTCTTCTGCTTGTAATGTAGTTTTATAAGTTCTAAACCCTGTTCTATGATGATTCATTCTCAGTTCCTTCTTGGTTCAATGATCTTTCCTTCTTCCACATTTCAGCCACCATAACTTATATTTCAACTAACCAGATTCTAGCTTTTCAGATTTTAGGAGAGAAAACCCCATTGGTCAGAACTTCTGAAGAACTGTCTGTGGAGTCCCTGAATCCACTTTTCCTTTCCCCATTCCCACCAAGTGTCTGTCTTCATCACTTCACTGACAGTTTCTAGTCCTTCATGTCAGATTCAGAGGGTCATCATTTTTTAAAAAATTCTTACCCGCAGAGATGTTTATTGATTTTAGAGAGAAAGAGAGAAATTGATGTGAGAAACATCAATTGTTTGCCACCTAGGTATGTGCCCCGACCAGGAATCAAACCCGCAACTTTTTGGTGTACACAGGACGACACTCCAACCTACTGAGCCACCCGGCCAGGGCTCAGAGGGTCATTTTTTTGTGATCCTCCTCTTACTTGACATTTCAGCAAGATTTCACATGGTTAATTATTTCCTTTTGGAAACATTTTCTTCACTCAGCCTCCCACCTCCCTAGCTTTTATCTTCCTCATTCTGACTTCTGAACGTTGGCATGTCCCAGGCCTTCAGCTTCGACCTTCTCTTGTCTACATCCTGGCCCTGGATGAGCTCACCCAATCCATGGCTGCAACTAACCCACTGCACTCTGAGGACCTTAGAGTTCACTCCTCTGTCGATGAGCTCAACTTAACATTTACAAAACTGAACTCTTGATTTTTTAATCTGCTGAAATATATTGTTTTTTTCTCCATTCAGCACCATCTTTGAAGTCTCATTTTACTTTCTTGCTCTTATTAAAACCTCCTGTTCTCTGAAGCCCCAAGGCTGTTACTGCTTTTCTACACTTCACAGACCTCAGGTGCTTTGTTCATGTCTATAGATACTCCTGTTACTCCCAGCTTCCTGGCTACTCTGTTCACTTACCAAAAGCTTTGAGATCTGCCACTGTCTTCCTCTACCCAGAGCTTCTTAACACACCAGCAATGATACCACCATGACACTCTCTAGATTCTTGTACACTCTCTCTCTCTTAAAAATACCTCCTGACTACTCATACCTCTTCCAGATATTGTCTGCCCTCTTCACAGCAAAACCTCCCTAAGGTTTGGACTGTAGCCATTATCTCTTCTTTCTGCTTAACCTTTCTCATCATATTTCATATTCTCATGTGAGCTGTTGAGGAGCAAGAGTCTAAGATTTTTGGCTTATCTCTTCAAATTCAGAACGGACTTGCCCACAGTCTCAAGATGCCGAGGAACAAAGGGAAAAGGTCCTGAAGAACACATTAGGCCTAGGAGTGAAGCTTTACAAAAACTTCAACTCAGCTTTGATTCAACTTAGTACTTGGTAAGATTAAAAATATTCATTCTCTATTATTTCTGCCTAAAAAGGAAATGGTAAACTTTCTTTGGTGGATGAGAGCCATCTAAAGTTTCTAAAATATTTTATATGGAATGTTGTTGTGCATGCAAGAAAATGACTAGGCTATATGACTGAAAACAACATTAAAAAACAAAAACAAAACAAAACAGACCTCCAGGTGATCCATAAAAAGGTAATTTGGAATTAAGTAGACATTCTAAAGTAAAAAATGTAATGCCTGAAATTAAGAGCTCCATAAATAGGTTTAAAAAATATCCATATTAGACACAGAAGATAGAATTAGTGAACTGAAAGGTTGATAGAACATAGCCAAATTGAAGCACAAAGAGCCAAAAAAGGATGGAAAATGAGAGTGAAAAAGATAAGTGAGAGACACTGGAAAGGTCTAATTTAAAAAAAAATGTTCCAAAAGAAGAGGCAAGAGAGAATGAGCATACTATTTGAAGAAATATAGCAATTCATACATTCAAGAACCTCTAAAAACCCTAAATCAAAATAAATACAAAGAACACATTAGCTGGCACATCTTAGTAAAACTGCTAAAGACCAAAGAGAAAAATCTGAAAATTAGTTTGATATACTAGTATTACCTATTAACAAAAAGAATGGGAAAATAATGGAGAAGCATCTTAAAATGCTGAAAACACATAATTGCTAATAATGTAGAATTCTATATCCAGTGAAAATATACTTTAACATTATTTGTCCTTTATGTATTTTTATACAGCCTAAACAGCCTAAAACTCCAAGACTCTGTTGTCAGCAGTCCTACACCAAAAGAACCATTAAAGAACATTTTCAGGTAGAATGAAAATGATCCCAGACCTAACTATATATCTCAGAGGAATAAAGAGCAATGGAAAAGGTAAATATGTGGGTGAATATAAATGACTATCAACTGTACAAAATAATTATAGGCATTTCTTCAGGGGTTAAATTATATGTAGAGTTAAAATTCATTCCTACAATAATGCAAAAGTTTGGAGGGAGGGTTAAATTAAAAGAGCTAGTTGTTCTAAGGTTCTATCATTAATGGGGAAGTGAAGTAATTTATATGAAACTGTATTGAGGTAAGGATGTATGTTGTAATCTCAATGGTGGTAATAACAATAATATAAAATAATGAATTGTCAAAAAGCTAACAGAGGGAAAATGGAATAATAAAAGTGTTTAATTCAAAAAGTAAAAAGGAGAGAAAAGCAACAAACAGGTCAAATTAAAAAACAGTATGGTACTTAATACTATATAAATTAATTACATTAAACATAAATGGATCAAATACTCCAAATAAAAGACCAAGATTATTAAACTAGATAAAAGCCTAAAGACTTTATAAAAGACCACCTTAAATATATGGACATAGAAAGGTTGAAAGTAAAAGGATAGGAAATTACACCATGACAGCACTAATCACAATAAATCTGATTTAGCTATACTCATATTAGACTAAAATAGACTTTAAGGCAAGAAGCATCATCATAAATAAAGAGGAATATTTTATAAGAATAAAGGAGTCTTCCCCCCAGGAGGTATTATAATTTTAAAGTAGAAATGGATAGAACTACAACCATGGTGGGAAATTTCAATATACCTCTCAGTAACTGTTAGGCTAAGTGGACCAAAAAATAAAAATAAAAAAAAATCTCCAGGTATTTCAAATTATTCAGAATATGTTCTCTGGCCAGGGAAATCAATAGCCTCCTATTGTATTTGTCAGGAGAAACCACTAACTTGGTTATATCCAACTTTACCCGTACAACAAGTCTGTACTAGGGCAGCTAAACATTGCTGGGGAAAAAGATACAGCCCTGCTCATTGACCTCACTTTAAATTTACATCCACAATCCTTATGTGGGCCTTCAGGATTACCCAGAAGTGCTATCCCATTTCCTGGGTAAATTCAACCTCGCATGCAACTTTCACCTCTCTCCTCCAACCTCGGTGATAATTTTTCTTATTCCCTGAGAAAATTAAAGCAACCAGAAGAGAAGTTCATCCAACTACCAGCGACGGTATCAGGTATTGGCACCCGCACCTGTGTACTTTCTTTCCTCCTCTTACAATGAAAGGGTGTGCTTTTACCTGAGGCTAGCATCTCCACTTGCATGCCCTGGATTTCACTGATCCCTGCTTAATTCCATGAGGCAGAAGAATTCCGGGGAACAACTCTCCCCATTAGCATTTAAATGCTATAATGTCACCTATGCTAAAAATAAAGTTCCTTCCATATCCTCTTCCTGCTACTGCCTTATTTGTCTACCTGTAACTCACCTTTACAGCAAACCTCCTCAAAATGGTTGCCTATATTCACCATTTCCACTTCCTTACCATTCTAACTTGGATCTGCTCCCTCAGGCTGCATTCCACCATCCTCTCTGTTCCTGCCTGCCAAGGTGACCCACATGGCACCAAATTCAATGGCCCGTTTTCATAACGTGCAAATGCTCTCTGCAATATTTGATACCACTGGCCACTAACTCTCCCTTAAAACATTTTTCTGGGCTTCTGGGATACCCCATCTCTAATTTTCTTTGTTCCTTTCAGCTACTCCTTTGGGTCTTCTTGTTGGCTTTTTCTCTCCTTTGTGATCTTTAAGTGTTGGAGTGCTCCAACCTGTACCTCCTCTCTGTCTATACTACCCTGAGTGATTTCTCATCCAGTTCTCTGAATTTAATATGGTTCATATGGTGATGATGCCCTCATTGACATCTCCAGCGTAGATTTCTCCTTTGACTCCAGGCCTGTTTATCTAACTGCTTACTTGATATATACATCACCTGAAATGGAACAGAGCCAAAACTGATTTCCTAATTTTCTCCCCTAGCCTTGCTCAAAGTGTCTCTCATAGTATATCAGTAACATATTGCTGCAGTAACATATTATCACAAACTTAGTGGCTTAAAGCAACACAAATCTCTTCTCTTACAGTTTCTGGAGGCCAGAAGTCTGAAATTAATTTCATTGGGGTGAACCAACATGGCTCTGTAAGGCAGTGCTCCCCCTAGAGCAGTGGTTCTCAACCTTCCTAATGCCGCGACCCTTTAATGCAGTTCCTCAAGTTGTGGTGACCCCCAACCATAAAATTATTTTTGTTGCTACTTCATAACTGTAATTTTGCTACTGTTATGAATCGTAATGTAAATATCTGATATGCAGGATGTATTTTCAGGGGTTGCGACCCACAGGTTGAGAACCGCTACTAGAGGTTCTAGAGGAGAATGCATTTCCTTTCCCAGCCTCTAGAACTACATTCTTTGGCTCATGGCCCGTTCTCCAATCTTCAAAGTCAGCCATATGCCATGCTGCCCCCTCCCTTCTCTGCAGAACTTCTTTAAATTTATCCCTGCCTCTCTCTTATAAGGATACTTTTGTTTGCATTTAGGGATCACCCAGATAAACTAGGATAACTCCCCATTTTAAAATCCTTAATTCATTAACATCTGCTAAATTCCTTTTGCCATATGGGGTGACATTCACACATTCTGGGGATTAGGATGGGGGCATCCTGGGGGCCATCGTTCAGCCCACCACACATAGTAAGTGGCAACTCCATTCTACAGTTGCTGAAGTTCAAGCAAGCAAACAAAGGCTTCTGCTCTCTCAAACCTCACATTCCACCCAGCAGAAAATCTTTGGGGCTCCCTGTTTAAACTACATCCCGAATCTGATCACTTCTCACCACCTCCACCGTTCTCCTCTCCTGCCTGGTTCCAGGCAGTGACCACACCCCTGCTCTCTCCTCCAGTCCTTTCTTAATACAGAAGCCAGATCGAGTCACTCCCCTGACTAAAGCCCTTCAGTGGCTTTCCATCTCACTGTTTCTACCTCATTAGCCTTTGTTCACCTGAGACTTCCCGGCACCCACTCTCCCCCTTATCGCTGGCCTTCCCTCTGTTCCCAGGATCGGAATCCCACCTGGCATTTGGATCTCAGATTCTGTTCCTCTCCAGAGCCAATTTAAAATTATCTTCCAGTTCCTCTAGCACATTTCGCCTTGAGTAACAGCACTTACTATTTAAAACTCCCTAACATTCTGATTTAGGGTCTGTTTCCCCAACTACCATATAAGATCTAGAACTTCCTTGCTCATTTTTGGCTGTTTCCCAAGCACCTAGCACAGTGCATGGCACCTGGTAGGCAGTAAAGACTTGAACCATTGCACATGAACCCCCTTTGCTTTTCCCCTCCGGCCTGACCTGCCCTCACAGTAGCCGGAGAGGGTGCAGAAAGCAAAGACGACTTTGGCAGGCTGTGCCCCACTCCCTTAGACAGGTGTACCTGCAGGACTTTCTGGGCTTGAACGTCGACCACGAGGACTCTGTTCAGTGCCGGTTGGGCCACGTAGATGTACCGGTGCCTGACGTTCACTGCCGACGCCCACTGGCATGGCTGGGTGGCGTCCCCTTCCCCTTGAGGACAGATTTCTTCCTGTGAAGGAGATAGGCTACCATGTATACTTCTTAATCCCCCCTCCCGCCCCAAACCCCGACCTCTCGGGATTCCCTCTCCCCTGACTCTCCTCGGTCCCTTTCTTGCCACACTCAGAATCCTTTGGATTCACAGAACATGGCACACAACCCCCCACCTCACCAATTTCCCCTCCTCCCACTTCTTCTGAGGCTGTACCTCCCTCTGCAGCCTCTTAATCAGCAGCTTCCGGGGCAGAGTCTTCCACTCTTTTGTGCTACTTTCTCTTTGTCCTCATCGCCATTATTTTAAAAACGTCTCTTAATGGCCAGACGTGTGAAAGAGTTCCCTTCACTTTTCTGCTTCCTCACCTCTCATATGCTCCTTAACCCTCTGCTTTTGAACTCACCAGGAAGCTGGGAGTGTTCTCACCAAGGTCAGTGTTGACTCCTCAGTTGTAAATTAATCCCTGGCCATCATTTTATTTGAACTTGGGGCACCATCTGACTACTCCTTGGTTCTTCTCCCTCCATCCCACCCCGTGGCTGGGCCTTTTCTGTTGCTGGATCCTGCAGAGTTCACCCTGAATAACTTTTCTTCTCGAAAGTTAATCTCACCCGAACCTATGGCCTTAGCTACAGTCTATATGACTACAACTCCCAAATTTACATCTTTGGCTCAGGCCTCTTCCCTGAGCTCCAGACTTATACAGCCAACTATTTAGCTTGACTTGATTGTTTAATGAACATCTCAGACATGTAAGTCCAAAATCAACTCTCAATTTTACCATCAGCCCTGCTCATTCCATTAAAAAAACAACAACGACATCTCCATTGCTTTACTTCCTTGGACCAATAACTTTGAGGCCGCCCTAGCTGGTTTAGCTCAGTGGTTAGAGTGTCGGCCCAAGGACTGAAGGGTCAGGGGTTCGATTCCGGTCAAGGGCACCTCGGTTGCAGCCTGTGCCCTTACCAATTAAACTTGCTGCTTCCCGCTGAACAAAGTGGATGGATATCTAATCCAGCAGAGAGGCCGAGAGAGGATGCACCAACTTCCTACTCACCCAGCACTTTAGAAAGAGGGTCGGTCCACTGTAACCCTCCCACGGGGTGTTTGGCACCCTCCTCCTGCTAGCAAGACCCTGGCTTCCCCTCAGGTCCCCTGTGGTTTTACCGGTGACTAGCTCTAAGTCCATGCAGTTCTCCCCTTCCCTACTGCCACAGGCTTAACCAGGACACCACCTTCCCACCTGGACAATTACAATGACCTCTTCACCCCTCTGTGCTTCTAGGCCAGCCCTTTTGACCACTGCCCTCCCTGAGGTCTTGCATGTGTTCCTGATCATGGCCACCCTTCGTCTGAAGTCCTTCAGGGGTTCCCAGAGCTTTAGGATACCATTAGAACTCCTTCCCAATTTCAGGCCCTTCCCACACCCACCCTTCCCTCTAGGCACACAGAGTACTTTCCGTTCCCTGAACATGACAAATTTTATCCTCTACTCTCCATGTTCATGACATTTGTTCCAGAAACCCGCCACCAACTCTGACTCGTTCTTCGAAACTGAGCCCAGGGACCACGTGTCCCAGGGGCCTTCTCTCCTCAATTTCTAGCGCACCCGGCACATCCTCTAACAGCACCTACTGGGCAGCTGTGAACTTGGGGAGGCCAGGAACCCATTCATAGGCCTGGGCCTCCCCTCGAGCTCAGTGCGTGGACGTGGCTGCCTGGTGAACGAACGGGCATATACATGCTCAGCCTCGTGTTCCTTGAGCCTTGGGACACATTGGAACCACACCACGTACAGTAGATGGAATTTAAGAATCAAATGGCACCCGAGGTGAAAGACTGACTGGGCGTGGGAACCTACGTAGCTCATGAAGATCTTCTCAGAGGGTTTGAGGTGCCTCTGGATCTCACAGTCCACGGGGTGCAGGATGATAATGCCGTCATCGGAGAAGACATAGAACATGTTTCCCACACTGAGGCCTGGGAGGAGCAAACACAGCCATGGTTATGTCCCTCTAGCAGCTACCGTCCCCCCCTCCCCCCGTGGGGTCACATGCCACATCGGGCACACACAAAACTGCAGCTCAGGTGCATGGGGTGCAGGCACGCAGCGCAAGTCCTGGTCAAGGTGGGGTGAGGTGAGATGAGCAGGTGGTGTGGGGAGCACGGGAGAAGGTGCCCCGAGGGCTGTCCATCAGAACAGCACACAGAGGGCCCTGCAGTCCCCGGGTGTCCTCCCAGACATGCACACCAGTCAACCAGAGTGGCCACCAACACGCTTTCAAATCAACGACAGCCGTGGTTTTGACATACATTTGACCGTTCCTGTCCTGAAAGGCAAAGCCGCCCTTGGTCGTTCGTTGTCCACTAAATTCAGGATGGATGAGACGATTCCCCCAAAGCAAAGGCTCTTACTTTGAACACATTTAGGTGCAGCGCCACTTCCTGGAATGTGGGGCCCTAAGAATGCTGTGGCAGGTGCTCCTCGGTCCAAACTGAGTCCCAGCCTGTCTGTGCCGGCAAACCCCTCCTTCAAGACTGCGGGCTCCACCTCTGCCCCAGCGGAGTCTCCGTGGCAGCTCGCACCAGGTGATAGAGCCCACAGCTGGTTGTGCCTGCCTGCCCGCCCTCACCTGGCCCAGGGCTCGGCCGTCTGGGAAGAAAAGGCCTTGGGGACCCCCAACTAGTGTAGCCTCCTTATTTCAAAGACAAAGAAACTGAGGTCCAAGGAGGCCACCTGCCTTTGTGCCAGAGTTGGGGTTAGACCCTGAGCCCCTGCTCAGAGTGTCCCCTCACTCTGCCTCTCCATAAAAGGCCAACCTGGCACAGAGATGGGTAATGTTGGAATTCTTCCTCCCACTTTCTCCCCACTCTTTCATATATTTTGAAGGTAGAACAGTAAAGAGATTTCTATAAGTTCTGAAAAAATGAAATATATTAAATAAATATGTGGAGAACTCTTTCCTCGCATGCAGAGAGCACCAGTGCCTTGATGTGCAGCGCACAGAGGGCTCTGCAGGGAGCCAGGTTAGGGTGCTGTGCATGGGTGGACCCCGCCCGAACCTCTGTAACTGCATGTCACACGCCCAGGGCCTCCTGCATTCTCTGGGTCTCTTTGCAGTAACCTCACCTTAGAAAAACACCACCTCTTAAAAACTTGTCTGGCGAAGTTTTCAGTGAGTTAGAAAACAACAAGTCAGGCAAATAGGAATCACCATCCCATTAGCTGCCAATGACTCTGCAGGCAGTTTTCGGGGCATCAGGCCCATGGTGATGGCACCAGTGCCTGCGGCTCCCAGTGAGGACGGAGGTCCCTGAGTCCATGAAGCAGCCTCGACTACCTCTGGTTCTGTGCTGAGAAGGGCTCTAGGCAAGAGGGCTCCTGCCATGGCGAACAGCCTGACCCCGCCTCTCAAAGCCGGCATTGACCACGAGTATCTGCAGAGCTGCCGAGGGGAGCCTGGGTGCTGGGCAGCCTGCCCCTGAGAGTCAGACAACCCATGAGTCTCAGCCGGCTCTCGGCCCCCAGCAGGACCTTTGCTTCTGTCTCCTCTCCCCTGGCAAACTTCTCACTCACATCTAGGGGGTCGAAGGGGCCACAGCCTTTGCTCAACAGCAGGCCCCAGGAACAGCCTCCTGGGGCTTCTCAGAAAATCGATGGTCGGAAGGACCAAGGTAAGATTGAAGGCTTAACAGAATCTCCATGGGGTCTGCAGCTGTAGCTACATTTCAGGCTGAGCGCAGGGCCTTGCTCACAGTTGGCAATGGAACATGAGACTAAACAAATACTCAACAAACAATCGGCTTTACAGGAGACCCAGCCTCATGATCGACCTCCTCCTCCCGCCGAAGGTTCTGTCTGGGCTTAGCTTCTACTAAACCAGTGATGGCGAACCTTTTGAGCTCGGCGTGTCAGCATTTTGAAAAACCCTAACTTAACTCTGGTGCCGTGCCACATGTAGAAATTTTTTGATATTTGCAACCATAGTAAAACAAAGATTTATATTTTTGATATTTATTTTATATATTTAAATGCCATTTAACAAAGAAAAATCAACCAAAAAAAATGAGTTCACGTGTCACCTCTGACACGCGTGTCATAGGTTCGCCATCACCGTGCTAAGGGGGCAGCAAGGAGCTTTCCTTGCTTTGTGTGCTCTCATCACCTCACTTCTCCTGGGCAGACTTGAGCGCGCCCTGTGGTCGGCCAGCTTGCCTCTCTGTTCTGGCCTCTGCATTTTCCTGTCTCCAGGCCTTGAGTCTTAGCGGTGAAGGGCAGCTGCCCAGGCATGATGGGAAGTGCTCGCTGCGGGGTTGTCTGATATTAGTGCAGCACCTGCCAGCCCTTGGGCAGCGTAGGTCTTAAGTGGGCCTCCCTAGCTGTACTTCACACCCCCAGGGCCCCCTGCATTCTCTGGGTGCCTTTGTAGTAACCTCCTTAGAAAAACACCACCTCTTAAAGACGCAGAGCAAAAGCTCTCTGTGTGCCTCATGGCTAGGAGCTAGGGTCAGGCAGCATCAAGAGCCTGCTATTTTTTTGAACCATATGAAACTGTCCATATTAGGCCAGTTTTGATGTACAAAAACGCAATTTTGTATGGCCCAATCTAATGTTTAAAGATTGTTTGCTAATACAAATTTTAAAAGCCTATTCATTTAAAAACATACATGTAAATAAATATAAATTTACAGAAATCACCGTAGCTTTCTCCTTCAGCATTTCCTCAGAGTATATGCTAAACCCCAACACCAATACCAGCTGCTGGAGAAAAGTTTAAGGCCTGGATCTGATCAGGAGCCCCTGCTGAGAGGGCCCCTCCGGTGGAGGTTTCAATGAGCTTGAAATGGAAACTTTCCGTTTCTAAATTCTAATGCATTGGTGACCATTAAAGACCCTAGGGGGTGTGAAATCTGCTTCTCAGGCTGCGCCACCTGAGTTTGACTTGGACCTCCCCCCTCCGGTCTGATCTGGCACGTGAACCCCGCTTGTGGGACTGTTTGGCGCTCATGGAAAGATGGCCTATTTTGGAACTACAAACACACGTGACCACAGACACAACACAGAACGAGTGAGCTGGTACCTTCCTCGCGCCAGAGGATGTTTGCAACTGCAGCAGCGGAGAGTTGGGAGAGCGGGAGCCGGCGGAGGGGAGGAAAAGAGAAGAAAGCAGAGTGAGAACCTTCCTCACAGTGTCAGTTCGAGAACATCTGCCATCGAGCGCACAGAACGGCACCACGGACTCCCGCGGCCGCCCTGGGGACTGTGCACATGGACAAATGCCTCCGGGTCTCAGGACCCTTTCAATTCTGAATGAATCCTTGACATCAGGTCCCAGGATCCCAGAAGCTAATGGGGTTTTCTACTTCCCAGGATGACAAAGAGGCAGCAACCTCTCTCTCAGATGCGCAGGATTACTTCCAGGAGAGCTCCGACTTTCAGCTAGGATCCTCCTTATCTGAAACACGTCTGAGGAACTCCCTTGCTGGGAAAGACTCATATGAAACTGTGACTGAGGGAATGAGACCATGGCCAGCACCCACGTCCTTGAAATCACAGCAGCGGACCCACTTGGGGAGCGGTGGCCACAAGGGAGAGCACCCTTAGCACCCAGGTGGGCGACATCCCTGGATAAAGGCTGGTGTGCACAGCCAGTCCCTGGGCCATGTGGGACAGCGGCCCCTGGTGGGTGGATAGAAGGGGGCGTTTTGTTAATGAGGGCAGGGGTTCCAGGGCAGGTAGGAAGCAGAACTGGGGCCAGGATATGTGAGCTTCCTTGTGGTCCTGGGCTCTGTCTGCTGTCCAGAGAGTTCCTCTATGTTTCTAGAGTCAGGGAAGGTGTGCTCCCCTCTGGGCAGCCTCTGTCCCCAGTTTGAGCCCAGATGGATATGGGTGTTACCTGTCTTCAGGGGCTCATGGTTGACAGCTCTGGCCCTGGTCAGTTACTTCCCTCCCTGACACCTTGCACATCCCACCAGCTCAGTGAAAAAAGCTCAAAGGCAAGAGTGGACTCACGGGTCTTTCTAGCCGAGTCCTCAATGAAGAGGGAGGAGATGTCTTCGTCCACGCCCACTTCATTTTTGGCAATGCAGGTGTACGCCCCCGTGTCTTCATACCGGACGCTTCCGATGTGGAGTTCGCTCCCGTTGGCTGCGGAAAGGACAGTGCTCAGCGTGGCCCGCTCAGCCGAGACCCCCCTCCCACCCTCCCCATTCTCTGTGTAGGCGTTAAAAACACAGAGCCCCTCAGCAGGGCTGAGGGTAGCCAACATCCCGGACAGTCACCCACCAAGGGCCAGAACACCTGAGTGAACTGAGGGTGACCCGGGACCTGACTGGCAGCCTCTCATCACTGCCCTCAGAAAGCCCACGAGACTGTGGGAGCCCAGGGAGTAGAACAGTCTGGGGAGACATCTGTTCACTCCAACATGTCTGACTTAGAATCAACTCACGCCTCTCATTTCCATCCCGGGGAGGGTGTCAGCTTGAACTTGGTGGGAATAGCACAGAGACAACGAGGGCGGTTCTTACCCAAAAGGGAGAGCTGTTTAGACATCTGGGCTGAGACATCCATGCCATTTTTCAGCCAAGTGATTCTGGGCATAGGAATGCCCTCTGCGTGGCATCTCAGACTGGCCGCCACCCCCGGCTCCTGTGCCTGGGTCTCCGGGTAGACGCGGATGACTGGTGGCACTGCGGGTGAGAACCAGTGCCGGTAAGAGAAGGCCCTCACCTGGCCCCGGGCCTGGGGTCCAGCCACGAAACCCTGCTCCAGGGAGGTGAGCTGAGAGGCAACTCCGCACTTCTCTTTGTAAGCAGTTTGCAACCATCCTATTCAGCAACTCAAGCCCTAAGAGAAAGCTATAAAACGGGTTGCAGGCAACAAACACGTCAGGCTTCCTACCCTGTAATTCATGGCTTTCATCATTATTCTAAATATGATCAGGAAGACAACCAAATATTTAATGTGGTTCAGCTGCTACATGTGAAGAGCAATAGCCACTGACATTTATTTCTGAATGAATAAAATTCAGATATATTATTTCTGTTATCAGCAAGCCATTGGACAGAGGCTTATGTCTTGCAGGAAGTGCTTCACAAAGCACTTATGAGCACTGACTGGCAGGGCTACTCATTATATCACGGCTCCGGGCAATCCATTGATTTTCCAGTGGGTCATTTTTATTGCTCCCCTTCTCAATCCCTGGAACACGGGTGAAAGGCGAGTGTGCCCTCCTTAACGCTGACTCGGCCGTGGGCCCTGCAGTCCAGCTCGGGGCTGGGGCTATGGCCTGGCCCACTCACCAGATGAGCATGGGTGGGCAAGGCGTCACCCTCCATAGGCCGCAGGCTTCTCTTACCTGGGCTGTCTGTGGGGAGGTACCTGGAAGAAGTGGAGACTGTCTGGAGGACCTTCCATCCTACCCCCAGCTTTGGGCCCAGGAGATAAAATAATTACCATTTTTCAGGGGAATTGAGGGCTCTTCCCTACTCACACATTTTACTCTACTTACTTCCAAAACGGGTTCGTGAGAGCGTGTGTAAAGGCACCTGGCTATTAAACTGAGTGAAACAAAAGCATCACACTTCTTTTGGAATGACGGGGGATGGATTCTTCCTGAAGTGGGCAGCTACTTGTCTGGAAGCTCCTATTGTCCAATGAGAGACAGCATCCCAGTGCAAGATGAAGGCAGAGGAGGTGGAAGGTACAGTCCCCTCCTCCCAGGACCAAACTGGAATTACAACTAAAATATAGAGCAATCATCCTGAATGACCAGCTGAAGGCTAGCTGAAGAGAAGTCTTATGACTGGGGAGAAAGGGGGGCATCTGTGAAAAAGAAAAAGTCTTGTAACCAAGAATTTACAGAAGACGCTGCATGGAGACTATAGAAGGGCAGAAACATGGGACGCGCTGGCCCTGCTCCCAAGGGCAGGGGCTGGGACTCTGGGGGGGGGTATCTCAGCTGCAAAGGTTCCCCCTGGGGAGCGTGGGGTCTCAACTCCACGCGGGGCCCCCAGCACAGAGCAGCAGAGCTAGGGAGAGAAGCCCACATAACATCCGGCTGTGAAGGTCCGCGGGAAGGCTGTCTGCCAGGGAGACAGGGGTCTGCTAGAAACCCAGGCGCCCTCTTCCAGGGTCAGTGCGCAAGATCGCACTCGTGGCCACTCACCCTGGGCTGCGGGGGAGGGAGGGCGGCGAGGAGCAGACTGGAGTTGTCTGAGTGTCAGGTCTGATCAAATAATTGAATTGATACCCTCTCCCCTGGGAACTGCCCTTTAGGCCACTTCACAACGGACATCCCACTTGCTAAGACCATTAGCTCTCCCCTCTGGACGTTCCCAGAATCCGGACCTGCACAGAGAATTCACCGCCCAGAAAAAGCCCGTCTAGAGCCCTTTAAAAACCTGTGACTCCCCGTCTTTGGGGGCTGGTGCCATTGTGGGGCTCAGCCCATCTGGTATCCAGATGACCTAATAAATGTATAATCCCTTACCATTTGGCCTCGTGCGTTCCTCCTTTGGCGACCCTAACATTGAGAAGAGACTGGGTTGTGTGGCTCTGGGGAGAGAGCTGAAGGGAATGCCAACAGGTCCCCATGCCGGGCCCCTCTCCCACACTGCCCACAGATGCTGGCTTTCCTGGCTCAGGCACTCCCTCCATACGGCATCAGTAAGGCCTTCACTTGCCACCCTGTCGAAAAGCCCCACTGTTTAGCTGTCTCTCCTTATCCCTGTTTTTAAAAATTTCCTCCTTAGTACCTTTCGCCCTTTGACACATACATGAGGGCAGAGAGTTTGGTCTGTTCACAGCTATGCTTCTAGTACTCAGCCTGGTGAGTGGCATGTAAAAGAAACCCTGTAAATCTTCGCTGAGTGAACGGAGTGATGACGACACTGAGATCTGAGGGATAAGGGGAATTGGCAGCAAAGTGGGGGGAGGGGGAGCATTCTCAGGGAGGGAACAGTGTGCGGTGGGGAGCCAGGAGGCCAGGTGTGTTGGGGAAGCGAGAAGCGTTCATGGGGCTGGAGCACGGGGGGAGGCAGGCAGGACCGGCTCACTGTGCAGGAGTGTGTGTGTGTGTGTGTGTCTGTATGTGTGGAGTATGGCTGCTGTTGCCCCTCTGTGCCCCGGTGGCTAGGCCTCCCCTCTTTTTCCTGAAGGACTGGTGTAGACTGGAAACTGAAGCACAGCCAGGGCAGCAGTGGGAAGCGGCCCCGCAGACAGCCCTAGGCTCCCTGGCAACCTAGGAGATCCACTGAGGAGCTCACCTTGCCTTGACCTGACTACCTGCTAAGGGGAAAACTAGCACAAGGATGTTAAAGAAAATGACCCCATCACTTGGGTGGGAGCTCACCACCGCCTCCAGGACCAAACTGTCCCCTTCACATGTGATGAGGCACCACAGAGCCTGCGGTCGGTGCAACAGGCCCCGGGGTCTGAGCCAGCACCTGTTCACCGCGGGCAGAAGCTGGGCCTCCTACCAGAGCCAGAGCTCTGGGTCCAGCCTCCTGCCAGGACAGGCAGAGCCCCAGGAGAGCCCCGGGCAGGGAGGCCTCAAAGACCTGGTGTCCTTGAGCCCCACTTGGACCGGGCCCTGGCCTGCTATAGAGAAAGCATCCTGCCTGCCCCGAGGGGGATGGTGGGGAGGGAGAGAATCAGCTTCCTGCCAACAACAAGGCAAGGACCCACTGTTTTTGTTGTTTTTTTTGGGGGGGGGGTCCTGACCTCCCCTCTTCTTTGGTGTAATTTGTGCACTAAAAATCATTTGAGATTAATATGCTCTGTGTAAATGCCTTCATTTAAAAAGGTTTGCCAAGCCTTCCAGTGAAAATGTTGAAAACATGACACAAAGGCCCACGTTCTTTGGGAAGCATCGGTCACTCCCGAGGTGGAAGGAGCACGAACGTGTCCTGAGTAAGAGGCACATTCACGAAAGCACCACGTGGGGAGAAGTCAACAGATGCGGGAGGTGATTATTGTGTTTTTGGGGGATGAATCGCTACTTGTCTGAACGGTGGGGAGGTCGAGGGTGTTTTTAATTTAATGGATTAATCATTTATGTCTGGAGTTCTTGCTCCTTCTGATGAAAGCAATGCAGGAGGTTTGCATGAAGTTATAAATCATGTCAGTGTTTAGGCCTCATCCCTGGGAGGCCTGGTCTGTGGGGAAGTAATACTAATAATTTAAGAGAGGCAGTAGTTTCCTGGAAGGGATTCCTTTGCCACCCAGGTCAAGGCCGAGTCATGAGGGAGAGCTTCAGAAGATGGTGGCCCAGCCTGTATATGGGGGTCCTGCTCTTACCAGCAGGGAGTGAGGCAGCTCCAGGGAGAAGTCTATATTTTATTCCTCATTTGGCAAATTTCTGTGGGTCTTAATTTTCCCATCTGTATAATGGGTTGGAGGCTCTCTGAGGAGTCACTACCTCAGACCTGTGTCCACCAACTACAGTAAAATAGGGCTCGAGACAACCCCAAATCTCCCCCATATCTTCTCTACCATGGGCTTTGAACTATATCTGTATCAGGCTTTTCCATATATCATATCTCATCAGGCCTATGAGGCAGGATGTGTTATTATTCTTCCCGTTTACAGGTAAGTTTACTAGCCTAAGACTGTATGTCAAGGAAGTACCAGCACTAGGTCTGTCTGGCTCAGAGTTCATGTCTTGGCCCTTTGACAGAGGTGCTGGCAGCTTGGGTCTGCCCTGGGCCTAGGATGGAGCAGCCCCCAGCCCAGCTCCTGTTCCCAGGAGTGGCATCTCTGTCTCATGGGCCCAGAGGCCACACACAAACTCCCCAGCACAGCTGCTGTTCTGTTGGAATCTTCTGAGCTTCGCCCCCATCTCCTCCTTTCATGCTCCTCCCCTTCCTGTCTACCCTCTGAGGCGATCCCAGCTGGAGGACCAGACACAGAACATTGCTCTCTCTCTGTGCGGCCGAGCACTGCCTCAGAGTAAGCCACAGGCCACCTGCCACCTGAAGGGGACCCAAAAAGACCTCAGCAGCCCTGCTGGGCAATTGCACCGAATTCTTCCCAAGCTGCTCAGGGCCATCTTTCAAGCTTTGGGTGGTGGGAAGGAACCAATCCCACAGGTGAATGTTGCCGCCTTCCCACCCCCTCCTCAGGGGACTCTGTAGAAACACAGTGCTCTGCGTGTCTGAGCACCAGCAGTGCCTTCTCAGCCTCCTCAGGTCCTCCTGCCCGAACGTTACCTGCTGGCACCAGGCCACAGCCTGCAAAGCTCCCCATGCCCCCCGCCTCTGAGAGCCTCCTGGGAACCCGAGCAGCATCGGGAGTCTGCACAGTGACCTGCTCAGCCCCACCCGGAGCTGGTGACACCCAGCCATGCAGTTCTCCAGCTCCTGTCCTGCTGGGGGCAGGGGCTGGGCCTTACAGTCACTGCCAGGGGTCCTTGCTCAGATTCTCGCTAGGCCAGCTGTTTCCGATCAGGTCTAAGCTCAACACTGGGACAGAGATGAATGAGTGAATGAGGCAGGGTTCCTGTCCCGTTCCCCACAGTGTGCAGCCCCTGTAGCCGTACAGGAACGTCATTTCTTTAATACGGCTTTTTCCTTAATTCAAGCCAGCTCTGTCCAGTCTCATCGCAGCACGACTCACTTGCCTCCTTTGACCAGGTCCCTCCACCTTTGCACACACTGCACCACCACTACCTCATCATTAAGCTTCAGGACAATTAGGTTCTGGTCAGTGTCAAACTGCCTTACAGAGCAAAGCCTATGGTCACAGAGAACAGTTTATGAACGTGACCCCAAAGGCAAGGGAAGTAAAGGCACAAATAAATGAATGGGACTGTATCAAACTAAAAAGCTTCTGCTCAGCAAAAGAAACGGACAACAAAACAAAGAGGCAGCCAACCAGATGGGAGATATTTGCAAACAGACAAAGGCTTAATTTCCAAAATATATAAAGAACTCATAAAACTCGCACCAAACAAGCAACCCAATCAAAAAGTAGGAAGAGGACCTGAACAGACACCTCTCCCAAGAAGAAAATATGAACAGCCAATAGATATCTAAAAAATGTTCAACCTCACTGGCAAATAGGGAAATGCAAATCAAAATTACCATGGATACCACCTTGCCCCTGTGAGAGTGGCCATTCTCAACAAGACAAGCAATAACAAGTGTTGGAGAGGCTGTGGGAAAAAGGGAACCCCCATTCACTGCTGGTGGGAATGTAGTCCGGTACAACCACTCTGGAAAGTACTCTGGCAGTTCCTCAAAAAATTAAAGACCAGAGCTACCATACGGCCCAGCAATCCCTCTCCTGGGAACACACCCGAAAAACTCGAAATCATGTATTCGCAAAGATACATGCACCCCTATGTTCACTCTAGCATTATTCACGGTGGTCAAGACATGGAAAAAAACAAAGTGTCCTGCAATAGAGGACTGGATAAAGAAGATGCGGTACATATACACAATGGAATACTACTCAGCATAAGAAAGGACAAAATAGCACCATTTGCAACAACATGAATGGACTTTGAGAACAGTATGCTGAGTGAAATAAGTTAGTCAGAAAAAGCTGAGAACTATAGTATGACTTACCCATATGTGGGATATAAAACTGAAACGCATGAATACAAACAGCAGTCAGTGTGGTGGTTGCCAGAGGGAAGGGGGTGAGGGGAGAAGGGGGCCCTAATATAAGGTGACAGGAGAAGATGTGACCTTGGGTGGTGGGCACATGGTACAATATACAGATCTTGTAACATAGAAACCCACACCTGAAACCTATATGTTCATGTTGACCAACGTCGCCCCAACCAATTTGATAAATATTTAAAGAAAAGAACAAAGCCTCAACTCTGTTGATCAAGAGAAGAGAGTTTCCGTCAAACTAAAGATAACACCTTGCCCTTAGTTATGCCTCAGCCCCAGACCCATGAAGGTGGATTGGCCCTACTGACCACATTCTTGCATAACCAGACAGAACAACTCCATGGCTGACATTAGGACCAGATGCAATACTAACCACCCCCACCTTGGCCCTGACCTGTCAGTGGGCCCCTGACCCTAACTCCTTTAGTTGTGATGATTAACGATTTTCTCTCTCTAATCCATCCTCCAGAAGCCGTCAGGGAACCAGGTTTTAGAACACTAGCTCACCCGTGTCTCCGAGCTGGGTGCTACTTCCTTCAATAAACCTTTCCTTTCTTTGCTACTAACTCCTGTGCATGTCTTATTGGGCTGTGATGCACGCAGGAAAACAAACCCCTTCAGGTCTGTAACACCCACAGCAGCTCAACATTGACCTGCTGTCCCCCTGCCCCTGCACCCCACATCTGGATTCTCCAATAGCAACACCACGCCCCGGCGAGGAGGGGAGGTCAGGGGTTAAGAGCTTGGGCTTTGGAGCCAAGATCTGTTCTGCACTTACTAACTGTAGGGCTGGGGGTTCTGGGCAAATCACTTGCTGTCTCTGAGCCCCAGGTTCCTCATTTTGAAACAGGGATGGTGCACGGGAGATATCCAGCAAGGGTTACCACTGGAATTGTGTCTTCCATACCACTCTACTTTCAACAACACCTTCCCACCGCCCCACACAGTGCGCACATCCCTCTCAGTCCAGCACAGCAAGCTTAACTTCTGGAATACTTTGACCACCTCTCGTCGTATTCCCAGGTCAGCAGGCAGTGGACTTTGTCCTTATGAGGTCACAGTTGGCCTATGTTAGCATGTTGCTCCCATGAGGGAGCTGGTTAATGGCCCCAAATGCCACCCCAAGTGCCTGGGAGTCAGCGCAGCCCAGGGACCTCGGGGCTCGGGGAGCTAGGGCCACCTGACTGGCCTAGCCCAGATGTCATGCAGCCAAGCACATGTCTACATTTAATGAGGGAGAAAACTGATCACAAATAAAGAGGTCCCAGCATGCCTTCCCCAATTCCACTGAGAGTACTTTGGCTGGAAGAGAAGCCTGGGATCTCTAAGCAATTAGGAAATGGATCTCAAACGGCCTCTCTTTGGATCTCTGTGGGGAGGTTTTGCTTTGTTTAGACTCCCCCAGAGCCAGGAGCAGCCTCTTCAGGGGAGATGAGCACTGGCTTGGCCGGTGGGGCTGTGGGGAGTGGGGGGAGGGGGGCAGAGGCCGGGAGGTAGAGGGAGGAAGAGCACTCCCCACTGCCAGGTGGACAGTCACTCCCACCTGGTGGGAGGAGTCTCTTTTCTCCTTGGACCCCTGCACCACCACAAGTGTGTGTGGGCCTGGGCCTTGCTGTGATTCGGCACAGGGAGGACAGAACCGGCTCCTCCGCATCCTGAGTCCCAGAATTCTGGGGAGACTCGGGGCAGAAGGCCCTCCTAGCACCACGGCCCGGCCACTTCATGCAGGAAGGCGTTTGAGACCACGGTCTTCTCTGGAAACCCAGGCGCACCTGTACTGGCTCTCACCTGTCAGTAACAGGCAGGCGGCTCCCCTCCCTCCTCACAGACTTGCTTTGGAGGGAATGAGGAGGACAAGGCTCAAGTCCTCTCTTTGTGCCCTTGGTTCTTGTGAAGTGTGGGCAGGAAATGAAGGGCTGAGCTGAGGCTCTGGGGATATTGATTGATTTCCCGTTTCCAGGCTTGTCTGAGGACCCCAGGGACCCCGGGCAAACCACGTGGCGTTCTTCTGCAGCCAAATCGTCCCCAGCACGGGGCTGTGCGTTTACCCGTGCCCGTTTTAGGCCGGAAAGCCCTCTTCACACTGCGGACCACGTGTCCTGCCTCTGCTGGGGTGAGGCCCAGACACTGCTGCCCCCTGCATGTCAGCTGGGCTGGCTCCCTCGGCGGGTGTTATAACTAATAGCTCCTGGGTTATTCTGGGGAAAGCCAGAGATTTCATCGTAGGCCTGGATTCAAGCCAACAAGCACAGCCGCAAACCCCAAGAGGATTAAGTGTATCCCAGCTCAAGGGAGGTACTAATAAAATATGGCTTAGCACATATGAGTATAAAAGTCCCTAAAACATCCTATAGGGTAAATGCACAGGCAAACTGAGCTCACCCAGTTGTCCTTAAAGTGCCTTGTCACCATGGATCCCAGAGGTAAGCAAAATTGAACCTCATTCTTGACATCTTGCTCACTTTATCTGAGCAGAAGCCGTGAACACCAGCTGGCTCAAAGGATGTGGGGCTGGCTTGAGCTTCTATACCAGTGGTTCTCAACCTTGGCTGCACATTAGAATCACCTGGGAATCTTTTTAAAATCCTGATTTCTGGGCCTCATCCTCTGGAAATTCTGTTTCTTTGTTACTAATGTTGCGGCCCCACCCCATAACAAAGAAACAGAATTTCCGGAGGATGAGGCCCAGAAATCAGGATTTTAAAAAGATCGGCCCCACCTAACAAAGAAACAGAATTTCCGGAGGATGAGGCCCAGAAATCAGGATTTTAAAAAGATTCCCAGGTGATTCTAATGTGCAGCAAAGGTTGAGAACCACTGTTCTATACCATTCCACTACAAGTGGGGCCTTGACTTACGAGTTTAATTTGTTCCGTGACGGAGCTCATAACTCAAATTAATCGTATGTCAAATCATAAAGTGAACGAGTGAGACACGTGATGCTGGGCTGATGTTGTGGCGTTCACTGTGACGTTCGTTGTGCCAACTAGCGGTGGGGTATCTGAAGCTGGCTCGTAACCCGAATTTTAGCTCGCAACTCAAAGCAAAAAATCGGCCGAGAGACGGCTCGTATCTCAAAAAACTCGTTAGTCGGGACACTCATAAGTCAAGGCCCCACTGTATTCCCTGACGCACAAACTCCTGCTCAGGCCTGCTAGGTGGCAGGAATGATGCCCAGCTGGGTCTGATTTCCCCAGGGTGCTGATCCCCACAGCACTGTGGGGAGACAGTGGCTTGTTGTTCTGATGGCTGACGTAGCCAGGTTGGGGTGGGAGCACGGGCCCTGGGTCTCTAGAACATTACCTGCCCGTGGTGTGGCCCAGGCAAGTGACCTCGCCTAGAGACACATCCATACGTGGGTTAAAATACACCAACTGGGAGCGTCCAGGTGACATGTAAGCACAGGACTGGCCAGAGCAAGTGCTCAGAAAACATGGCTGTGGTGGTGGTGGTGGGGGCGGGGGGCGGCGGTAGCGGGGGAGGAGGTTATTTCTTCCAGGTCCCAGGAGTCCTGGCAAGCATAGCTGGGGAGGGGATGGAGGTAGGGGTGTGTGTGGGAGGAGCACAGAGCCTCCCAGGCCTGCCCAGGTTCGGGCTGGGCTTGGCCCCAGCTGAGGCTGGTTGAGCCTCTGAGGGAGGGAGGTGGGAACCAGCCTGTTGAGGAAACAGTGCCTCCCAGTTGGATAAGTGACAGGGTCCACACTGCCTGAAGCGGTGGTGGGTTTCAGACAGTGTCTGCTTTTCACCGGAGCAAGACCACACACAGCAGTGGCCGCTGCCCTGTCACCTGGAGGGCCTCAGTGCCGAGGGTGACACACCAGAGAGGGCTTTGGGTGAAGCCAGACACCAAAATCAGTTGGCGGACGTTGCCCTTTTCCCATTGCCCCCCTTTACTTATGAGAGAGATGGGGTGTTTGGGGGTCAGATGTTTCTTTAAGGAGACAGACCACAGGAGAGGGAGGGTTGTTCTGAGCGGCATCTGGGGAACGCTTTGAGGGGACGACATGCACGGAGCCATTTACTAACCATTCACCTGCAGGACGTGGGTCTGGAACAGCTCCTCGTGGCCGGCGGCATGGCAGGTGTAGTTGCCCATGTGGACGGTGGTCACCTTGGTGATGTAGAGCGAGTCGTCCTCTCCGAAGTCCTGTGCGGGGTGAGGAAGGCAGCGCGGTTGGCCTCTCTACTGAGTGGCTTGGGAAGGACGGGCAGGGCTCCCAGTTCTCCGGGGAAACGGAAATGCTGCAGCTTTGAGACTTCCCTCCCGCCCGTCCCCTTGCTCAGCAGAGCTGCCTGCGGGGCTGTGCAGGCTCGGGCAGCAGGACCTGCATCGCTGTCCCCTGCCGCTTGCCCAGAGCCGTATATCCACGTAAGGCCTTGCTCACCTTCTTGGGGAGGCCGTGCTCGAACCCTTCCCCAGCAAGCTCCCTCTCAGTTTCCACTGGGCTCACCTGCCCTGCTGTTTATTGGCGGGCTTCCTGGCTCCTGCCCACCTGTTCGTGGAGGGCGCCTTGTTTAGCGTAGGCAAACTTTTTCTTAAAGGGCCAGACTTTAAGAAAGTTTTGGCTTTGTGGGCCAGAGTTCCTGTCAACTACTCAGCCCTGCCTTGTGGCACGAAAACAGCCAGAACGATACATCAATCAAGCAGTGCCACTATCTTCCAATGACATTTTATGTAAATCAATAGGCAGTGGCAGATTTGGCCTGTGGGCTGGGCTTTGCTCACCACGGGTTTAGATCCCACCTTGATACCAAAATAGTTTCAGGCAGCTTGCAGAGGTCTGGAAAACCCAGAGAAAAGAAATAAGACTCTCAGGAGAATGGGGCAAGCAGCAACAAAGGGCAGGGCAGAAAGAGAGCAGGAGGGCTGACGCGGGTGTGATTGATGAGTGTGTGTGAGTGTGTGTGTGTGTGTGTGTGTGTGTGTGTGTGTGGTCCATGGGATACCGCTCAGTAAGCCTTGTCCCTGTGACCCTGCAGCTCACAGTGTGGGCTCCCGTTGGGCTAGTGTGTAGGGGAGGGGTGGGCGGGAGGGGCTGTTGGCTGGTCAGAGGCCCCTGTGAGCGCTTGGGCACAAAGCTCTCCCCCAGGGCCTTTTCTGTTAGCCGTGTTCTCTCTAGCAGAACCATGCCCAATGCTGGCCCTGTCCAGCCCCACTGCAGACAGGCTGGGAGACAGAATTGTCCGGCGTTTCAGGGGGACCCCTCATCAGGTTTGGCTTTAGCTACCAGACATCTCTGAAGTGTGGTTCTCAGAGCTGAAGGGACTGAGAAGGGCTTGGCTCACTGGTTAGGAACAGGGCTGTGCTGTGCCAGTTGTGAAGGGATGGGCCCGGCGCTGGGACACAGAGACTCAGGTTTCAGCTTGAACTCTGTCGTGGCCCGCACGCTCCCTCGTCCCTCTGGCCCAGGTGCTGGCACCTGTAAGTTGTGCCCTGCCTGCCTCATGAGGGAAAGTGTCTGGGAATACGTTTTCCATTGTGGGGAGTGTGACATACGTGGGGATGTTACTCCTCTTGTCATTATTAACAGAAGATGCAAAACTCCTCTTGACTCCCTGGAGCCAAAACCGCCCGTCCCTCCTGCCATTCTCCGGCCTTTCCACGGAAGCAACCTGTGGCAGGAGGGAGGACAGGCCACAGGCAGTGGGCCAAGGGCTGTCCAAGGGCAGCCACATGGGCAGCCACACGGAAGCTCCCGGTCCTGGTTCCTATCGTGCCCCTGCTCCTCGAAACACTGACCCTCTGTCTTGCTCCCACTCCAGAGGGCCCGGCCACAACCCTCACGAGTCCTTTAAAGATGCTTCTGGCCAATGAACTAGCCCAACGAGGGGGTTCGGGCTCAGAGAGAGGCCCGTGAGGGCAGAGGCGGAGGGTGGGTGGTGGACATGCAGCCAGCTTTCAGGGATAATGCCCCCAGCGCCCCAGTGGCGCGCACACCGGAGAGCGCTGCTGGCGCCCTGTGAGTTTCTCTGAAACATTTGCTCTGCTTCAGAAAGCCCCACTCCCATCCCTCCGCAGAAGCTTCAATAATAAAAATAAAACACCAGAGAGCTGATTTGTCCTGTGTCATAACAGAGTCATAAAGGGTTCATACCTGAGTTGCTTATGAAAAGTTAATGGTTAGTCAGTTCCGGGGCTGACATATTTCTGGTCTAAGCGATTGCCTGTGTCAAAACCTAAATCTGGAGGAAAATATATTTTGCCGGCGCCCCGTGGTGGGATGGCATCTTGAAGGTGGGCTGGGAAGCTGGGTGCAGCGCCGCCCGGGGAGCCCTCAACACCTCATCTGGCGGTTCCAGGGCAGCTCCCTCCCACAGGGCGGCCCCAGTGACCGGGCCCTGGAATTCATTTTCCCTCCACACTGTCCTCCTGAGCCTTTGTGCCCACAGCCCTTCCTCACAGGAGGGCCCTTGGTGCCCCCTGTGCTTGTCACCTCCATGGGGGTTGTGTGGTCACGGGACCACAGCATTCCCCAGCGGAGAAGTGCCCCAGGCCGAGGTTCCCACAGATCAGTGTAGGGTGATGCCACAGTCTTTAAAAGCTAATTCTGTGCCAGGAAATGTGACATATATTGCCCTGTTTAAGCCTCAGACACCCCCCCCTCCACCCCCCAGAAGCCATAAAACAGAATGAAGGCCCAGTCCTGCCTCCTTCACAGCACAATCTGACCTCCTCTCACCACCTCCACTGCCACCCCGGGGCCAAGGCACCATCTCCCTCTGGGGGGAGGCAGGGACCTCCACGCAGCAGACACATGCCCTCCTAGCCCAGAGCCTCGGCTAAGGGCCTGCAGGGATGGTCTGCCTGTCCCTCTCCCAGCCCAACTCCTTCCCCTCTCCTTGCTCACTCCACTCCAGCAGGGGCCCTCGCTGTTGCTCTAACATGCCGGGCATGCTGCCCCCCACCCCCCAAAAGCTTCCTACTTGCTGCGCCCTCTTCCCCAAAAGCAACCCATCAGCCTGGCCTGCTCCCTGCCTTCATGTCTCCTCAAATGTTACCTGCCACCCTTTCTGTACCCCCACCCAGGCCCCTGTCTTCCTTCCTGCTGTATTTCTCTGTTGGCACTTGTTACATTTACACTGTTCTTTGCATTTGCCTGGTTTGCAGTCTGTGCCCCCCCCCCCCCCCCCCCCCCCCCTCCGCCCCACGGGAATGTGAGCTCCATAGAGCGGGCAGGGGCTCTGCACGCTGTGTCTCCAGCACCTCGAGCAGGACCGGCATCGCTGAGCGGAACTGCAGCATGGGCTAGGATTCCTGCAGGGACTGCCTTCTGGCTCCTTGGGTTTGACCACCGAGGCACCCACCTCTTGCCTTCCATCCACCCCAATGTCGCCAGTACATGGGTCAAACGAGGTGGTGGGGTGGAAAGGCAGAGAACTGGGCTCCATCTCACCCCTGCCTCCCGCCCTGTCTCCTCCACGAATCCCTCAGGCCAGGGCTCACTGATACTGACTGGAGAGAAGGCTCAACTCAGAGCAGGAGGCAGAGACAGGAGAGCCCATGCATGTGAGCCCATCCCGGACTCCACGGTGACTCCTGGCGAACCCCTAACAAAGCCCTTTAACCTCTCTGTCCGCTTCTCCTTGCTGCTCCCGGAGCGGAGGCATACGTGGGTACTCAGTCGGCGCTGAGGGGTGTGCGTCCGCTCTTCAAGGACACGCGGGGCTGCTGGGTGCATGGGGCTCCGCTTCAAGCACCTCACTCATTACCAGCCCATGATTTGGGCTCTGGGAAGAACCTGGCTCTGTAATAAAATAATGTCTCTAGGCTGAAATAATAGGCATCGTGTAATTATGGAACAAAGTGCATATTGTTTTCTGGAACATGAATACTGACTACAGAAATCAAATTTACCTCATTGGATGTGAGGAAATTACTTTAAAAATTGATTTATAAGAAGCTATATAAAACTGAACCTGCAATCCCTCCTCTCCTGCATGCTCTCTGAGATATGCCTGCACACGGCCATCAGTGCTTGATTGCATCTCTGTAATTGTCTTTTTATGGATGGCTTTTTATTTTTTATTTTAGTTCTGGTGCATAGAAATGTATTAGCAAAATCAAGGTTCTTTCTAGCAATAAACAGATGCCAGATTAGACCATTCTTTGTATTGATGCACATCCATCTTTGGGAAAGAGACAATTTTACTTAAAGACTTGGTTTTTGCCTTTTAAAAAGCTATTTTCTAAGTATCTGCCCTTAATAAAGGAAGCAATTAAATGGGACTTAAGTATTAAACTATATTTAAGCAGAGGCGAGGTGAAGGGATGTTGTCATAGTGATGCATGGGAGTCAGGTCTAAGTAACACGGAAATGAGCCATCCGTGCTGAATACTGAGTGACTAGGTGTTAAGCACAAGGACTCCAGAGTGGTTTCAGAGTTTGGGTTAATGATACTGTCAAGGCTACACGTTAAAACTCAGTTTGGAAACATTTTGTTTTAGAGCTTTCCAACCCTGCCTTCTCTGGAGCACCTTGGCTCTCTTTGGGGGAGATGGAGTGAAGGAGGTGGTCTTTGCCTCCACGCTGGTTCAGTTCTGGCCCCTGGAAGTATACTAACCTGAGCTTCCCACCTGCACAAACATTTCAGCATCGTGGACCCAAACATCGAGTGATAGCAGCTCCTTGACGATGGCCAGTCCTCAGAGATGTTTGTATTCACACAAGCAAGGACCAGACGCATCCTTGGTGGACACACGCAAACACCCACGTGGACACACGCAAACACCCACGTGGACACACGCAAACACCCACGTGGACACGCACAGTCAACCTGAGCATGCGCACGCTCGTTCCAACCCACTGGCCCTCCACAGCTGACCACTCTGACCCACACTTGGGCTCCCCTGCTGACCACTTCTTTCCAGCCCCTGGGAGGACAGACTTGCCCCTCTGCAGAACCAGTCCTCTCGCTCAGAGTCCTCTTTAGAAAGTCCCTGCAACTTGAAATGACCCCTGAGTAGCTGCTGAGTCCCCACAGGAGGGCTGCCATGGACAGTCACTTTCAGTGGGTCTGCCCTCCTGCCCATCTCCAGGCCCAGGAGAGGGAGCCAGAGGCATGAGAGCAGGCGCATGGGGAGGACTCCTGGCTTCCCCAGGAATGCAGGGAGCGTGTGGTTGCTGGCTGACGGGTTTATGTGGCCAG